TTTCCATTCTTTTAAATTATAGTATTAATATTAATTTGTAGTTTTTTATTTTATTCTTTTATTTAAATGTTATCATCTACTTACCGTACCATATTTATTTTCTAATCTAATTTAGAAAACTTACCATTTTTACGCGTTTGTGCTTGTAAATTATAATATTTTTTAATGATAAATAATTAATTTGTAGTTTGTTTGAAATAAATCATTTTAATCCTGCCCATACTTTATTAATTTGTAATTTTTAAATTTTATTTTAATATTTAAATGGCAGTGTATTTTATTTCCATACTTCAATTCCCCAATGGTTCACTACTATTTAATTTAATTTAATTTAAATGCTTAAATGGTGTAACATTTAAATAAAAATAATAATGAAAACATACTTAAAATGAAAAGAAAACATTAAGGTAAAATAATTAAACTACCATTTATGTTGTTAACACTTTCCATATATGAGTCTCATGCATGGACGGGAAAAAATTGATGTCTTTTTAAATAATATATAGATACTCCCTCCGTTCTTAAAAACACTTCCTCTTTCATTTTTTTCACTTCCAACAAAACATTTCTCTTTTCTATTAAAAAACCACTTTTACCCTTACTTTTTCATACCCTACCTATCACATCATACTTTTTCTTTAATAATTTATCCATCACATCTTACTTTTACCCATCACATCAGGGACAAAATTGGAAGTCGATTATAATTTAACACTTTCTTATTTTTGCTCCAAGTCAAAATATGAAGTTTTTTTGCAAACGGAACGGAGAGAGAGTATAATTGAAGCCATTCATTTTGAATGGGAGAGAGTACTGTACGTGTAGTACCTATTTGGGCTTCACGGTTGACTGAACTTTCTTCGCCATTTCCAAGCTGGGTTTCCCAATTGAAGTCACCCCTTTGGCACATGGACAACAGCAACAGAGGTGCCTGCAGCGTTCATTGATCCCCCAAACCAATCAATAGCGTACACTATAACATTCACATAATTTTAGAGCTCGATCATGTAATTAATTAATGGTGTGGGAATATATTTCTTTGCCATGCCTGCCAACTCGATCGCCATCTCTTCTCCGTTTGCCTCGCACGCGTGACTGTGCCGTTCCTCCACCCCGAGCAAGTCATGTGCGACGTAAGTGTGTGGGAATACACACACTTGCTCATGGAGTTGTTTTTTTATTGGTTGTAATGTGCCACGTCAACGTTGTCATTGTCATACTCCCTCCGTCCCTTAAAAACTTCCCATTTTGACTTTTAAAAGATTTAAAGAGAATATATATTTTGGTGTTGATTTTCTAAAAATGCTTTTGATGTGATGGAAAAGGTTGGATGAGAAAAGTAGATTAATAGAGACAAACTATGATTTGATTGGTAGGTTAAGAATTAATAGGGGTAAAAATGACTTTTTAATATAAAAAGAAGTATTTTTTAAAACAGATGAAAAAGAAAATAGGAAGAGTTTTGTGCGACAGAGGGAGTATTAACTTTGAAAATGTCAAACTTAAAGACTATTATTAGTTAATCTTTTCAAAATATTAAAACTAAGACTCAAGTTTTTTACCAAACAAGCACTATATTATTTTATTAAACGCTAGATTAAAATAAGTAAAGAAATAAAAAATAATTTGAGGGCATGGATAATAACGATAAAAAATAAAATGGAAGGGAGGGACTACATAACATTAATACGGAGTATATTCTTTATTAGAGTATTTTAATGAAATTTATGATTTTAACAAAATATGTCAATTAAAAGCTCAACTAAATTTACTCCCTACATCCATGATTTGTTTTCCTTCCGCTGCGTGTTACGATGTTTGATTGAATTTATTTTTTAATATATTTTATATGAAAACTGGCCAGTGTAGAATTAAATAACACGGAGTAAAAAAATAAATATTTAAAATAACATTAAATTCAAAAAAATTACAAAATTAGATGTAATGAATGACAACGGGTCGAGTTAGATTCTGGTTTTAGTATATCAAAATCCGACCAATCTTGGTTCCGGTTCGGGTTTCGTTTATGCAAGTCGTGTTAGGATATGATATTTTTTCCGGTTCGGATTTGGTTTAAGGTTCCATTGGGTTGGTTATGATCAAATTTAAATTGAAATTTATCCCTTTTCAATATTCAAAATCTCAATGTTTCTATTGATATTTCAAATGTACTACGTATTTGTCAAGTACCGGTAACTTATACTTCATCAAATGTGCTTAGAAATCAAAATGTCAGTATTACAATTTTTATTGATAGTAATTTTTATCCTACTTATCAAATGTCAATACTTTTATTGATACTGAGTGTAATAAAAATACTTTTATTTATTGATACTAATTTTTATCCTACTTATCAAATCGTTTTATAAATAATTTTACTCATCACATATTATTTTTTATTCATCACAGTAGGTATTTTTGAAAAAAGAACACAAAGATATTCATACCTCAAGTTCCCTAAGGCCTCGTTTGGTACACGGAATTCAAACTATGAAATTGGAATTGAGGACTTCAATTCCAATTCTTGTATTTGGTAGCACAAATATTATTTGGAATTGGTAGTGCAAAAAATGAATTAGAATTGATGAATTCAATTCTATGGAATTGAATCCCATTTATTTTAATTCCAATTCAATTCTAATTCCATTAATTCCGTGTACCAAACGGACCCTAAAACTCAAATAGAGAACAACTTTATGAGATGGAAGAAGTATTTGTTTACGTATATACTCCGAATTTTCATGAAAAAAAGAATCAACTTCTTAGTGATATTTGAATCTTTGATTTTGAAGGAAACCACAAGGGTAATGGTATTCTTACACCGTGTCATATATCTCATTTGTATACCAATGTTTTGGATTTACAAAACACTAGTATACCGTAGCACGAAATATCATTGCCAAACACTATCAATCACACCAACATTATGGTGTACAAATGAAGTATATTTGTTGAAATATTTGCTGTAAATAGCACTAAAACTTAAGTCATTTCTCTAAATAGTACTTAGATGGTTTTTTCATAAATAACACTTAATAATGTTCATAATGACCAGTGATGACAAACATTTACTTGAATAATGACTAATGAATAATGACTAAAAGTGCTACATTGGGAAAAAAAAAGTATTGCTATTTAGGGAAAATCATTATGTTTTAGTCTATTTAAGTAAATTCCTCATATTTGTTTGGGAACCTCTACACAGATTATCTTTTTCAAGCTCTGTGACTCTATTTAATTATTGCGGAGGCTACATTATAATACTTCCTCCATTCCATGAAACTTTTTCCTTTCTTTTTTATTCGTCCCAAACAAATCTTTTTTCATTTCTATTAAAAAGTTACTTTTACTCCATAATTATTAACATACCTATCACATCATATTTTTCATTACTCCGTATTAATCTATCTATCACATTCTACTTTTAATCATCAAATCAAAAGAATTTTTTTTAAAATCAATACTAAAATAAAGTTTCTTTTAAATCTTTTAAAAATAAAAAATAGAAACATTATTTTGTGATGGGGAGGGACTATATATCATTAGGGCTGTTAACATATAGCCAAAAATCCGATTACCGTCCGCATCCGGATCCATTTAAAGAGGAAATATCTGCATCTGTTTTAATGGATATTATCCGCATCCGATTAAGGATATCTGATTACTAAACGGGTACAGATTTGGTAATTGTATATCCGATCCGTTTAAAATCTGATCCGAATATGCATCCGTTTAAATAACCATTTATCCAAATATCTGATCCGTTATATATAGTTTTTCCTAATTTTTTATGTTTATATTATGTTTCTCTATTAATATTTCAAAATATAAGACAAATTTATATACAAAATAAATGTGTAGACACATAAAAATATATACATACATTTAAAATATATGTATATATGTGTGCTGCGTATATCTTTTTATCATAAAATATCATAAATCATGAAAACAAAGAAAATAATTATCCCATACCAAATTATAGTTGATTTAATAATAGTTTGACTTTAATCTAATTTAAAATTAAAGTATTGTTTAATTTGATTTTAAAAATTGGAAATGGATACGGATATATCCGATATCCGACCGATATCCGACGAATGCGGATACGGTTTTGATTTTCAATATCCGTCAAGATCCGTATCCGAATTCTATATCCGACAAAAATAAATGGATACGGATTTAGTAATGACACATCCGATCCGATTAATATCCGTTTATACCCCTATATACATCTACATGACCTCTTATCTTCTAAAACTTTTGAAGAAAACTGGGTAAATAATTAAGAAAGATTAGAAGGGGATGAAAAAAACAATTAAGGAATGTATACACTTACTCCGCCACCCAAACAATGCGGCCGAAGATGTTTAGGCCGCAGGAGATTACCCGGCAGAGATGGTTAAAGAGATTCCGACTTTCACCATTCCCCGGATATTCTTCGCCGCAACAGAAACAGAAGCATTTACCGCAGCATTTACCGCAGTTGCTGAAGCATTTACCGCAGTTGCTGCAGCATTTACCGCAGCATTTACCAATATTGCTGCAGCATCTACCGCAGCACCGGCAGCAACATTTACATATACCATCCTTCCCACAGCAGCAACACATTAATTAATTAATTAATTACTCTTATTTTTGTTGTATATATATGATATGATATAGATATATAGTACGAGCTAATTAAGTGGTTAAACGTTTTTAATTAGTGGTGTACTTGAAGAATGTGTTTATATATTGATCAGATCCATATGTAGACTGAAATTAAGACGACACTAGCTTGTTCATTAATTTAATTTAGGGGTGATGATGGTGTTTTGTTACTATTCTTTTTTTTTTCAAAAGAGATGTTTGAAAAATGTTGTCCCAATTTTATACTCATTCTGTCCCAAAATATTTGTCACATTATGCAAAATAAAGAAAAATTTTAAGTTTTTTCGATTTGTTTTGTTAAAATTTGGTATAGAAATTAAATATGAAATTTACATATTTAAAGACTATATCAAAAAGTTTTTTTAAACAAGACCTGATAAAAATATTTTATTTTATCAAATAATCAATGAAAATGTATAAATAAACATACATTCATGTCATTTTTGAATAGTCAACTGTGATGTTTTTTTGGACAAAGAAAGTACTCCCTCCGTCCTATAATGATCTTCCCGGTTCGCAAAACGAAGAAAAATCTCAAGTTTTTTCAATCTATTTTATATAAATATTGGTATAGAAATAAAAAATAAAACATATATATTTTAAAATTACACCAAAAGTTCAACAAAACAAGTGGTGACAAGAATATTTTATTTTATCATATAGGCCATGAAAAAACACAAATAAATATAAATTCCCGTGAAATTGAAATAGTGTTATGGGAAGATCATTATAGGACGGAGGGAGTATAATGAATGATCCACTACTAAAGCTAAGGGGAAAGACTGCTTTTTGATCGATGGAATGGTTGAACCGGCATCCATGATAAATTTGGATTATACAAATGAAATGCTTTTGAATCACGATTTGGAAAAATTTGGAACATCTTCAAACTTTAAAAAAGAATTAGGATAATACGAGTCATGATTGATTGATCTAAAAGCGGTACATCTCTATTTATTGTTACAAAACACTCATCATTCGTTTTTTTTCCATTCCACAGAACACTTCTACTTTTTATTAAAAAATCACTTTTACCCCTATTTTTTCATACCTTACCTATCAAATCATATTTTTTCACTAATAACCAAACTATCACATCTTACTTTTTTCTCATCACATCAGGGGCAAAATTAGAAAGTCAACCAAAATTACGCTTTCCTTATTTTTCCCAAAGTCGAAATGGGAATGGTTTTGTGGAACGGAGGGAGTACAAATCAATTTCTCTGGGTCACAACCACAATGTTGAGTTTTCGGTTAAGTTGGTTCCTTGACATGGTTTGAAGCTTTGATGACCAAGCGGCCACGAGTTTGAAAACTCATCGCCACTTAGTAAAAAAAATTAAAGTTTCAGGCTAAAAAAAAGAACACCTACATGTGAGGGACATGTTAGAATATAAATGGAATGAGAAGCCCGTGCTAACAGGTACACAACCTTTCTAGCAGAGCGAGGAACCAAAGCAAAAGTGAAATCTCCATCACAAAGGAATGACAGATTTTTACGATCATTAATAATAGAGCTTAAAGACGATCAATCATTAGAAGAGCTGCTAAAAAGCTCCACTACATCTTTGCAATCAGATTCAACTATCACATTTAATTTAGAATTAAGCTAGGGGTACACCAACATGGGGTACCCTAAGTGTACATCAAAGCCAACACAGACACACACAGACACAAAGTGTCTGTGTTGCACAGACATTTTGTGTCTGTGTGTGTCTGTGTTGGCTTGGTGTACACCTGGGGTACCCCATGTTGGTGTACCACTAGCATTGCCCTTTAATTTATCCAATCTTTCAACTTTATCCAACTCAAAACATATTTGATCGCCATCGCCTCTGCCTCACGTACTCCATAGTTCCCTCGTTTTGAGGTGTTCTTTGCAGCAATAAGTTGGCCTTCATGATCACGTGCAAGAAAACCGTAACCCACCATTCATGTAAAACTTCAACCCGCGTAATTTGAATAAATAGGTTAGCGAACCGAGTTGCTACTAAATTGGTATCCACATATAATATTTTACAAGAAATTAAAAACATTTAATTCAAAACCAGATAACTCAACCATTTAAATATGTATCAGAGTTTACAGCATTGCGGAAGCTATAATTTAATCAAATATCAATCTCTTTAAATCTATTCATCCGTACATGTCTTCCGTCATGTTGTCCTCCAAGATGAATTCCAAACTCAACCCTTCCACGATTACCTACGTGTTACAAAGATGAAAAAAGGTTATACGCTCAGCCATAAAGCTAAGTGAGAAATATTTAACATTCATACATACACATAGGTGAACCCACTAATTCATAATTATCACATAATATCATGCACACAAACATATCACATATCACATATAACATCACAAATATCACATAACGGTGTCCATTATGGATGAACATAAATATTACATGTTCGTTACTTTAATCACCTGATTCAATCTTCTTGATGGCCTCATAATCTATTCTAAGTCAAGGCTTATACCAACTCTGGTTCTATCTTTTTACTAAGTGAAGGCTTATCTTTGTTACTTTGTTATGGGATTCTTGAGCTTCCCATTCAAAACAAAGGTCAAGCTCAAACCAACTCGGAAGTTCCTCGTTGGGTGGGTGAGATATCTATCCCCTTTGGAATGATAGTTCATAGATCCTACGTGCGCACATCTTTACCCGAAGAGCCATTAGACCAAGCGGGTACCACATGACTTCTAACATCTGTATTCTTACGGTATACCTTGCCAATATTCTTTTCAGGTCAATCCTAGAGTTCCTTTAGGTAAACTTCTTCATCTGTCTTACCATTTGATGGTGTAAATATAGCTAGGTGGATTGACCGGGTTTAACCTGGACACACTTGACCCGTAGTAAAATACACACAACAAGAACACAAAGTATGACCTAGACCGGATAAATCTTCTCAGTCCGAATTATATTTCTTACTCTGTCTCAAGAGTGTACTTTTTAGTGAGATAAAGAATGGATCCCCTCCTCTATCCATAATTAACATATTTATAGAGGAGAGTGTGTGACCTTCCCCTGTTCATCCGTAGACAAAATAGGAAACAAATAGGAAGGTCACTATAGTGAATGGATGCACTGTACAATCAATGATTTTAATAGCTACAAGCCAAGACACTATTCAGTCAATGACTTTAAGATATATCTTCCCTAGCCAATCAACCCTGCAAGATGACAAACATTCCTTTCACTGTATGCCTCGTGATGGATGAACGACGGGGTGGTCCCCTAGCCTTTGACGTGGTTCACCATGCTTAGGAGACTAGACCAATGTTAGCCAAGTAGAGTGATATGACCGGTCACCTTTCCTCAAAGGTTACCCGGTCATTTCTTGAACCCAACCCGTCTCTTTAGTCTTTCAGAATATCCTTTGCAACATTAGGTGACATTTTGGCTATTACTTAAAATGTGACCGGTCACTTTTCTTAAATAGTGACCGGTCAACTTTTGACCCGTCTCAATCAAAGAGTTGTTCTCATTTTGTAATCGTGGAAAGTGACTGGTCAACTTTTGATCCGTTCCTTTCGGTTATTCGGGACGGGTATAAGGATATGGAAAATGCTAAGGTGCCACCATGAGTGCACCCATGCTTCGCACAGACAAACACAGACGATAATTATCTGTGTCGCACAAACAATTATCGTCTGTGTTTGTCTGTGCGAAAATGGGTGCACCCATGGTTGCACCCATGCGGTGGCACCCTAGCATGGTCCATAAGGATATACCCATCACCATTCATATTTATATAACATACAATCGACAACATAAAGCAATGTCTAATATTTAAGTGTGATAAATCTAATATTTGTGCATACTTTATAATCTTTTGATAGACTTATCGATTGAAATTTCAATATTATTTAGAGCTTAATTGTGTATATATCTTCAAATGTGTAATGTGGGCTAATTTGTGATGATTTCTTGGGTTTAGGGCCCAATTACAATTTGAGGAATTAAATTGCAAATATGTTGGAACATATGGGGCTAATATCTTATTTTTAGAAAATTATTTACAATCATGCTAGATTAACACCAAAAAGTATCTCGAAAATTACACTAAAAGTATGGATTAACATTTCAATGATTTATACTTACACAAAATGATAATGCATTAAAAATAATTTATACTAAAGTATCTTAAAATTGCAAATACGTAGAAATTAAGGTAGAAACATTTATATCTCCCACTAATTCTTTGTTAAGTCAGAGCATCTCCAATGGGTATAGTAAATTTTGATAGTGTATATTGTATTTTACACTATCAAATGTGTTTTAGCATTTAATTTTTTCATAGCTCCTCCAATCATTTCTCTTAAATAATACACTTTTTTATATATATTATTATTTTTAAAATATTTATTTGTAATAATATTTATATTTTTAAAATTTTTATGGTACATGCATTTCAAACTATACATATATTGAGTATTTTTATAAGAAACAAGAAATATAAATGTATTTTAATAAATATATAGAAAAAATGAATTTACAAGATGGGAAAAGCATGTAGTGTATTAATGCAAGGTGAAGCTTACTTTTTACAATATAGTGTTAATTTTGGCTGGTCTTCACAATTTTGCTTTTATAATATACAACCCCGTTGCTCTCAGTCTTGCTCGACCTGACCCACCACCAACGATAGACGATGAAATCCAAAGAGCGCCGGCGGCTAGGCGACACGAAGAGCAGTCAGACTCCGTCTAATTGCCGGCGACAAGCTCCAATCCAGCAACCTTCGGCGGTCCAGCGCATCGAACTTCGGCGAGCTTCCACCAGCGGCCACATCCCAGCTCCGACCAGCAACGGCGGCCTAGCTCCATTTCAGCTCCGGCCTCTCAACTCCCAGGCGCAGCCCCTTTGACGCCAAGCTAATTTCTGGCGATAGAAGAATCGCAGAGCAGGGATCGAGAAAAATCAGAGAAGGTTGCGCAAATCCAATATTAGGCGATTGAAATTACTATATTGCCTCTGGTAAATTCCTTGCACAATTTTTAATTATTGTCCTTTTTTTTGTTAATTTACTCCTAATTTATCCTTCTTGATATATACCCCTAGCTCCATTTGACAGCGAGCTCCCCCATTTCTTCTTTTCATATTTAGACTAGGGTTTGTTCATCTTCTTTATTCCCCTCATGTGCCATTATTGTTTGGATGTTGTTGGCCGCAATGGCATTCTTGGCTTTCAGAATGGGTCCTAAATCAACGAGGAATCGAGATTTAGACCCCTAGCCGTCTCTACTCTCAAGTCCTACCACGAAAGTGGAGGATACTTGAGGAGGTTGTTTGTCTTGTTTGTAGTTCTCTTGAGAGAAGCGTCACGAAAGTGGACTCTTATCTAGGGGATTCTTTCCCAATTTTCACTAAAGTGAAACCGGGGTGATTTGCTCACATTCGAGTCGATTTCTCGTTTTACTCTATTCCATGGCAATTGCATTGTTAGCATTAAATCTCTAACCTAGACTTGCTTTCCTTTTTCTTGCATTTCATTTTAGTTTTGTTTCTTGTATTAGTTCAGTTCATTCCACTTGCTTATCATCCATCTTCTCCTTCTATTTGGCCTTTATTCACGTTTAACAATTTGATATTAGTGTTTTGTTACACATTGCACTCTACTTCTAACCAATAACACTATCCCAGTGGACTTGACATCCGTACTTCCACCACTTTACTCACTCATTACTTTTACTGTTTCTATTTCCATTTCATTTCCATCATCGTTTTGAGCGGGTTTTTTGGTGCATAACGACACACCAGAAACTTTCACATCACTGATTTATTAAAGTTAATATATAAACTTGATGCCATAGCATACACATGTAGAACATTTCTAATCTGAGCCCCTTCACAATTCAAATCCTTTAATAGAAGGATTTGGTGCCCTGAGTCGATTTGCTAACATTTTACTAATGATTTTATACATGACTCTATATGAGACAATCGCCCTAAGCTCTCCTGAGATTAAAATTTTATGCAGGATTGTGAAACCAACTTTTCGATTAGCCTTCTTCGAGATTAAAATGACATCTGTAGCTCCAAGATAATCTGGGATTGTGCATGCATGAGCTGATCCAGTTCTGATAGAAGAGGTTTAGCGGAAGTCAACCTTCTGAGAAAGGGTTAGTTTTCTCCAAGAAGAGGTAAATAAATTTGGTTATTGACGAATGTGTTCCGTGGCAACTATGCTAAACATAATGTCTCTGCAAGTATCAGGTACAATTTCACTCTTTACTCTACGGTTCAGCCAGATCTAAAAGGACTTTTGGGGATGGGCTATCTTTTTTTCATGAACTTTGTCCATACATTGCACGTGGGCTTTTAATACTTTTTAAAGTCTCATTTATATATATGGACTGGCTAAGTCTAATGCATGCCTATATACTCTGTATTCACCTAACATTTGTTTTGTTAAAGTGGAATTATTATATTATTCCACTAAAGAAATAATGGAACACCAAATTCTTCTAACCTTTTACTATGGTGCTGCATGCATGCATATGGGTTCTTTTAAAAAATTAAAGTGGTTCATATAATTAGAATATATATATACTACTTCGTATAAAAGTTATTACAAGTATATATTAATTAGTTAATAATACAGCAGCCATGAAAATCAAAGCTCATCATATCATCATAGCATCTTTAGTTTTACAAATCTTAGCCATTACGGTGGCACAGAAAGAGATTCGAAGAACTCCCGCTCCTTCTCCAGCAGCTTCTCCACCAAAGAAGACTAATAATAGTTCAGGTCTATTATGAACATTTCCCTTCTCTTTATTTCGAATAAATTCCAACTTTTGTATATATATGGACTACTTTCGCCTATGAGTATTTATCTAGTTTTGATTTTTCTCAATCAAAATTGATAAACTTTAACCATTAATTAAATAAAATTGATATTATGTATTACCCCGGAGTAATATTTAAATACTCCGTAATTTAATAAGGTTCATTTTATAAAATATTTTCAAAATATTATTTTATCTAATTAGTATAAAGTATAGCATATACGAATAGTTTTTAATTAATTTCATCATGTGTGAAAGGTTTAAAGTACGTGGTTGAGTGCAAAAAGTGAAAACTTGGGCAAATATGAATATGGATGTAGTATCAAAACATGACCAGCTCATATGTTTTTATCACGGTTAACACTGTAGAATACCCCCTTTGTCATTATATGTTGGCATTTTACAGTATGTGAAATAAAACCTCCTATTTAGGTAAATTAATCTTTACCCATTGGATACAAAGCCTCCACCACTAAAGAAGTTCATCGAACTTTTGTAGTCAGGAAAAATAAGAGTGTGTGACATGATTTTTGCTTATGACATGCTGACTTTTGGAATGTAGGCTATTATTGTATCACAGATTTTACTGTTTTGGCATTTTCCTTTTTAGCCCAATGCAAGTATCATCGTGTCTTTTCAAGATCAATATGATCTTAGAATGATGTTTGGCTATGGCTCTTGAAGAAGTAATGACTTTTTGTTCGAGTTTGGCATTATAAATCATATTTTGTTATAGAACTATTGAAACTCATATTTTCATGTATTGAACATGTTCTAGTCCTATTTTGATGGTTCTTCCTACTTTTATTTTACTTTTGACCACATTTTATTTGTGTTACTCCCTCCGTTCCTTTAAACACTTCCTATTTTGACTTTGGGCCAAAATAAGAAAAGTATAATTTTAGTTGACTTTCCAATTTTGCCCCTAATGTGATAGATAAAAGTAAGATGTAAAAGTTTGGTTATTAGTAAAAAAGTATGATGTGATAGGTAGAGTATGAAAAATAGGGGTAAAAGTAGTTTTTTAATATAAAGTGAAAGTGTTTTAGGGAATTGGTAAAAAACGAAAGGAGAAGGGTTTTATGGACCGGAAGAAGTATTAAATATACTTTCTCCCTCCAAAAAAAATCTCAACTGACTTTTTGGAGATTAAAATTGAAAAATTTTGGCCATATAATTTAAAAAAAATATACGTGGTATGATGTAAATTTAATATTACCTCCATTTCTCGGTATTTGTCCAATTTTATTTTTTTGCAGTTAAAATTGATAGAATTTAATCATTAGTTAAATAAAATATAAGAAATTGGTACTAGAACAGTAATACTCCCTCCGCCCCCCTGTATTTGTCCACATTTGACTTTTGGAACTGTTCATTTAAGCACTTTGACTCATCAAATTCTCTCAATGTGTAAGCCTAAATATAGTCATGTGTGATCTTGTTTGATTTGTTTTAACATATAGATTATTAGTATATAATTTTTTAATATACAAATTACAAGATAAAATGGATTAAAGAAGTGCATTGGATGGTGTGTAAAAATAAAAGTGGACAAATACAGGGGGACGGAGGGAGTATAAGATTGATACAAAACTAATAATACTAGGTTTATCTTATAACATATTTTCAAAATATTTTTGGTCCAGTTATTTAATATATCATGTGTTTTTTATTTTAATTATGGGTAAAAGGCCGATCTTCATCCGCTACAAAAGATCCAAACCGAATAAATAGCAAGTGAATGGGTTACTATTTGATTTGTCTTTATATGTGTTTTTGGAATATCTTTTCTTATAGAATTTATTAGTGTATAAATATAAATAGTATTGATCTAAGTCGTATGCCATGAAAATTCAAATGAGAGTCTTATTTTAGAACTTATGTGGTGTTATATTAACGAGTTGAACTTCTCTCCTGCCTTGAGTGGTTGCGAGCCTACTCCCCAGGATTCATGGAGAAGTTCACCCAGCTTCGAGCCCCAGCAGGAGCGGAAGCATTGGCTCTTTGTGTATCATTAGGTTGAGATTAATATTCAAACAAAAAAATTAACGAGCTAATGTGGGATGGGATGTTCATATGTTGCGTGTGTATATCCTCATTATATTCATTCTTGAAATTTATATTGCAGGCAATTACACTACCCTTGTCATAACAATTCCACTTTTTGGGGGCATCGCCCTGATGATAGTGATAGCGGTGATACTATTCAAAAGAAAACACATCAGCAGCCATGGATTGATTCTAGGGTTTTGGATGCTGATGTGGTTTGGAAGCGTGGTTCTAAACACGTGGGACATTCCGCGTGTTTCCAAAACCCTAGTCTCCTTCCACGTTGTGGTCAACGTGTTAGGGCTAGTGTACTGGGTCCACTTAGGACTTTTAGAGTACAACCGGAAGAACGCGTGGCCCTCTGCCAACTTCATGTTCGAGATCGCAGCCTGGTTTTCCATGTTCGCGTTAAGCTGTGTTGAAGTCTTTGTACTGACCTTAGCTGGGGAACGTCAATATCGCAGGTTGTCCCATTGGTACCCAGTGGCAATAGCTTTCATTTCAATGGTGGAGAACTATTGGACAAAGGGCAGGGAGATCAGAGAAGACCGGATGAAATCGCAGCTGATCAAGAACTTAGAGGCAGCATTTAAAGAAGTCATTAGGCTTTGCATGGAACACCCTAAGAAAATTGACATTGTTGAGTTTGAGGAGAAGGTGGAGGAGTTCTACAGGCTGTTGGATATGTTGGTGGCTCAGTATCGGGAGGCGGTCGCGGTTGCTCAGCAGAGGGAGGCTCTCGGGAAGAAGGCGCAACAGGGGTATGCCGCCACCGCAACAGTTGTTGAAGTGGTGGATACGTATGAAGATAGGGTAAATGTGACCTGCGAGGCTCGTGCCCATGCAGATTGCGAGATACAAATCGAAGCAGAAGGAGGGCACAAGGCTCGCGGGCCTCATCATGACGATATCGATACAGTTTGTGGTGAGATTCAAACGGAAGGTGCTGAGAGGGGGGACGTGGTCGGCCAAACTCAATATTTATAAGAGTAATTTACCTAAATAGGACTAAAACATAATGACTTTCTCCAAATAGGACCATATGTTTTTATTTCTCAATGTAGGACCTTTGGTCATTGTTAATTAGTAATTATTCAAGTAAATGTTCATCATTGCTAGGCATTATTCCTTCCACGAAGACATTATTAAATCCTATTTAGGGAATAGAAAAGTTTAAGTCCTAGATTAGGAAAGTCATTATGTTTTAGTCCTATTTAGTGCAAATTTCACTATTTATAACATCAATACAGAAAGGCCACTTTTTATTTAGTAAAAATATATCAAAAAGCCTCCCTAATTGTCAATGATCATTAAAAACAAAAACAAAAAAAGACTGCAGATTTAGAACGCAAGCTCAGCTGCGTCAAAGAACCGGCGAGGGAGGAGCCATAGACAGACAAATCAGCAGTCCTATTGATCCGATTCAATAGGAGCATATATATGCTACATGTACTTCAAAATTTGTACCTCATTTGTACATGCACCAATATTTTGATGGTTCACACTGACACAAAGTGTTGATGTATTAACAAAAATTAGCATTATACCAAAACAAAATATTGGTGCATCCATGCGCTGTTTAAAATGAGGTACAAATCCTTAGGTACAAATAACATTATCCGATTTAATATTATTATTTGACCCGTTCATACTTTTCTGATACTTATGTGGCCCACATGTGGAGCAACGACAATTTAATCAAGGAGTTGCTTAGGAAGTAACCGTACTTTCGATATGAACTCCTTCTAAGCAACCCAACTATAGATGCTCTTATGTTTGATTGCATAAATTAAAACAAAGAGGTATTTAGTTATTTAATACTCTTGTGCTTAGGAGTATTTTTCTGTTTGAAATCGAATTTCGCATTAAAGTTTATGAGAATTGATCGATTTTATTATTTTAGTTCAGTATATTCAAAATTTGAGTGTATGGATATAAAAAGTTTAAATTAAAAGTAAACTATGTACTCCTTATTTAAAATAAAACTACATATTTCTTCCGTCCCAGAAAGAGATGGACAGATTGACTAAATTGGTAAAATAAGGGAGAGATAATTTTGTATTGATTTTTCAAAAATATTCCTGATTTGATGGGTAAAAGTAGGATGTGATGTGTAGATTATTAGTAAAAGGATATGATGTGAGAGGTAAAGTATGAAAAAAAGAGTAAAAGTGGTTTTTTAATAAAAATATAAATGAGATTGTAGGACATCATTTTTTTGAAACGCCAAGGAGTTTTTGGAAAGGAGGGAGTATAAGGCTTTTATATATACTCCAATTTTATTTATTAAAACAAAAAATAAAATGTACCCCAATCCATATCTAAAATAGAATTAAAAATGTATTTAAAAACTATATGTAAAATTTTTCAAAACAAGAAAAGATGGATTTATTGTATATTGTGATAAACATATAAGAACGGAAGCCCCTAGTGAATCTAGGCCAAAAGTGTACTGGCCCGAGGATATTTTAATTTTTCCATTTTTAAAATTGAAACTGGAACTAGACCATGCATGTCCGCGTTGGACATATTTGCCTCACACCTTAGTGCTTGTTTGGGAATAACATTAGAAATTAGCGTTAGCGTTTTGGATAAAATTTCAACGGTGCAGATTACTTTGAAAACGCTAACTCTAACGTTGCCAGTGATAGCCTTTTCAAAACGCAAATGCTAATCTCTAAAGAATATTAAGAATATTAAAGATAACATTTCCTTATTTTATTGTTACCATTCTTATTTTACTATAGTTATGATTCACTCTTTTACTCCAATATGAAGAATGAAAACCTCTACTATTTAATAAAACCAATTATTATACAATTATATCATGGTATCAGAGCTAAAACATCTCTCTTATGAACCTAGCTCTTTTCTTTTGATTGTGCGCCATCGCCAGTCTTCATCATTGACGACTGCCATAGATTACAACCTCTCCTTGTCCCTCTCTTTCTTTACAAAAAACTTAAGTGTGCATAACAGACGCTATCCCTTGTCCCTCTCTCACTATAAAAAAAGTTGTGCGTGTGATAGATCGAAGAACTTGAAGACTGCATTTGTTATTTTGTTTGTGTTTCATGTAGAATATGAGATCATGAAAAACGATAGAGAAGTAAAGAATGACCCATAAGAAGAAAAATAAAATCGCCTCGCCTTGCTCTAATCGTCAACACTCTCCTTAGAAAAAACTCATCCAACGAAGATCATCCAATCTACTTCTAGCCGCCATCCTCATAAAATCGCTTATGGCGGCTCCATTCTAGTGCGTATACGTATGCTCCAAGCTTCTCCTCTTTATGGATGATCAGCTTGCTCCAAGATACTCCTTTGGTCCTAATTTAAATTGTACTCCCTCCATTCTAAAAAAGAGTTTCTATTTTGATCAAGTGTAAAATTAAGAAAGTGTTAAATTGTAGTTGACTTCCGATTTTGTCCTTGATGTGATGGGTAAGTAAGATGTGATGAATAGATTATTAGAGAAAAAGTAAGATGTAATAGGTAGGGTATGAAAAAGTAAGAGTAAAAGTGGAAGTGTTTTGTTGAAAGCGAAAAAAAATGAAAGAGCAAGTGTTTTTGAGAACAGAGAGAGTATGTTGTTAATGAAGTTTGATTGAAGTTATTTTCAACTCAATTTGTTTTACAATTAGTATGAAATTAAAAAAAAAATTTATATATTTAAAAAATACATCAAAAATTTTGCAAAATAATATAGCTGACAAAGCTACAATATTACTTTCTCAAAAGGGTAGCAAAAATGGGTAAAAACGTGGGTAAAGTTTGACATGTGAATAGTAAACAGATAACTTAACGGGGAATTTACTTAAATAACACTAAAAAATAATGACTTTCCTTAAGTAGCACCACATGTATTTTTTTCCCAATGCAGCACTTTTAGTCATTATGCATTAGTCATTATTTAAGTGAATATTCGTCATCACTAGACATTATGGATATTATTAAGTGCTCTTTAGTGAATAAAATAATTTAAGTGTTATTTAGAGAAATGACTTAAATTTTAGTGCTATTTAGTGCAAATATTTCAAACTTAAATTGGGACGGAAAAAGTATTATTATTTATTTCTTTTCTTAATCTATTATTGCTTATATAATTGTTATTCTTCCATTATTGAGATTTTTTCATGACTCTCTATATATTCATTATTCAATATTGAATAATAAGACATTATAATCAAATTATATCGGACATATATATCTTGAGGAATGAGGATATGAAAACTCCGAAGAAAATTAAAAATTTTCTTTTTGTTATAATAAGGCCCAAAAACTGAATAAACCAGGGTAGGGCTGTGCATCGGTCCAAACCCGGACCAATCCGGACCGGACCGGGACCGAATAAGAGCGAAGTAATGGACCGTAGACCGGACCCACATAGTGTGAGACCAGACCGGGACCAGACTGAAAAAAATTGGACCGTTCCGGACGGTCCGAATAAGGACCGAATAACAGACTATATGGCTATCAATATGAATACATTCACGAGAACTACACATACTCCATTCTAAAGTCTGTCAATGCTAGAATTGATATGGTTATGATTCCATTCAACTATACAGAATTCATCAATGGTCTAAAAAAAGCTACTATAAATTTTTTTAGAAGGCTTTGAAAAACTTAGTTTTTTTTATTCATCACTAATTTTGACTTATATAATTTAAAGAAATCATAAATTCAATATCAAAGGAAAAATTATCCAAAATAATCCCAACTTTACCCCGTCTTTCAAAAATAATCTCACCTTTCACTGTGATGCATAATAATCCCAACTTTACTGAAATTTGCCAGTTTTGGGTCGCCGTTAAGTTTCTAACGGAGGGTTAACGGAAATGCCCGTTTTAGGCAACAAAATGAAAGTTCGGATTATTTTTGATGAATTTTCATTTTTTTATTTTTTTTAAATTTTTTATTTAAATTTTTTAAATTACTTTCTACCTCCATCATCATTTCTTTTTCCTTTTTTAAAGATTAGTCTTAGCTTAAAAAATAAAAATAATAAATATAAAAAATGAAAAAATGAGAAATGTAACTAAAATGATACAAAAATAATAAAATAAATAAGGTAATCAATGGAAACTAACTTGAAATTGGTAAAAGTAAAATAAAAGTATTAACATATCACTTCTTATTTTTTAGAAAAAATTATCTACAATAATTCCAACTTTACCGGACAGCTTGTTCTTTTAAAAAATAAGTACTACATTAAGACTCCGTATAGTGTGTAAAATGTTAAAACCTACCACTCCGTATATATTTAATTTATTTCTTACCAGTTTCTGTTTAATTTCTATTGATTACATTATTTATTCGATTAATTTTGTATGGTTTTAGTTATTTTTCTCATTTTCATTATTTTTTATATCTACTTTTTTTCTAAGGTAAGAATAATTTTAAAAAAAAAAGAAATGGAGGTTGAAAGTAATTCAAAAAAAATTAAAAAACAAAAATTCATCAAAAATAATCCCAACTTTCATTTTGTTGCCTAAAACGGGCATTTCCGTTAACCCTCCGTTAGAAACTTAACGGCGACCCAAAATTGGCAAATTTCAATAAAGTTGGGATTATTATGCATCACAGTGAAAGGTGGGATTATTTTTGAAAGACGGGGTAAAGTTAGGATTATTTTAGGTAATTTTTCCTATCAATAATGTAAAAAAAAAACATGTAAAAAATGTTTGGACGGAGTGGACGAGTGCTGCGATTGGACGACCGACGACCGGACGGAGTGCGTACCTGCGGAACCGGTGGACGACTGGACGGAGTGCTGCGAATTGCGATTCGACGGCTGCTGACAGTGCTGAGTGCTGAGAGCCCTGCGATTTGTCGGAGACTCGGAGGATTCGGCGGAATCGGAGTGCTGTGTGAGTGCGTGATGCCGTGACCTGCGTTTCCGTTGAGATTTCTTCTGCTAGCGAGACGGCGACTGCCGTGCTGCCGTGACCCCACAATAGTAAAAACGTTGAGTTATTGTACAATAATAAAGAAAAATCATACATGATCAACAAGAACCTACAAGTGCGTGTGTGAAGTTTTGTGTGTTAATCAAAATGATATTAATTATTCCTTCCGTCCCTAAATAAATTTCTGTTTTTGACTTTTTGAGAATTTAAGGGAGAGATATTTTTGTGTTGACTTTTCAAAAATATCCTTGATGTGATGTGTAAAAGTAAAATGTGATATGTAGATTATTAGTAAAAAGGTATGATGTGATAGGTAGAGTATGAAAAAATAAGGGGTAAAAGAGGTTTTTTTTAAAGAAAAGATATAAGGATCCACAAGAGGAGGGGGAGATGACGAGAGCGGCGCATAATGCATGCAATGATTTTTTGGGCATTCATCCTTAACAATGACTTACTCCGTCTCAAAGACTATCCTTTCTTTTTTTTTACTTGTCCACAAAATCCTTCTCATTTTTATTAAAAAATTATTTTTATTATCCCCAATTTTTAGAAAATTAACACAAAAGTATTCTTTCCTTAAATTTTCTAAAAATTAAAATGGGGATGTTGTTTTGAGACAGAGAAAATATAGTGTATAAAAAATAACGTAATCAAATATTGTGATCCGTAAGATCACGAGCAACTACGGAAAGAAGGTTAAACAAAAACAAACACATGCTATTAATTTCTAAACAATAATTTTGGTCAATAAGTCAACGAAAAATGCGAAATCTACCCCTATTTTTAAGAGTAATTTTACCAATTTTAAATGCTAATAGTAAAAAATTGACAAATATTCAAGGATGAAATTAGTATATGTGTCGCCCATGACCACAACTAAGTTGGTTCTGGAAGGGGCATATTTACAACATGAAGCAAAGATTGATTTGATGGAGGTGTAATGTGGGAGTGATATTCTAAGACCAGTTATAAGAATGGTCTCCTTACATGTCTATGGACCGATCTCGCCCTTTAACGAGTTGATGCGTTCCTGATTTACCATCTTCCTCATACATCGTTGGATCTAGGTGTGGGCCCTTGGGGTTGGAGATTCAACTTTTTTGCAACATTTCCTTGTCGTTTTTTTCTTCTACAAATTTATGAAGATCATTTACCTAAATAGTACTAAAATATAATGACTTTATCTAAATAGCATCATATGTTTTTATTTCTCAATTTAGCACTTTTAGTCATTATCTATTTGTCATTATTCAAGTAAATATTTACTATCACTGGATATTATTCTTGCTTCTAGACATTATTAAGTTCTATATTTAGTGTAAATATTTCATTTATGAATAGTCAATACTCCCTCTTCGGTTAGTTATTGCAGCCTTGATTTTACGTAGTATTTCTTTTTCTCCTTATTAATTTAAGTTTTTACTTCTACTGTTCCTTACTCACTAATGATATATTTTATGGTATTAGCTTTTCGCATACGTTTACTAAAAAATAATGACTTTCTCTAAATAGCATCACATATGTTTTTCTTCCTAATGTAGCACTTTTAGTCATTATGTATTAGTCATTATTTAAGTAAATATTTACCATCACTGGACATTATTAAGTGCTATTTATAGAATAAAACTGTTTAAGTGATATTTAGGAAAATGACTTAAGTTTTAGTGCTATTTAGTGCAAATATTTCTAAAGGTAATTAATTATATATACAAAATGGTACATACTATATGCATGATCACGCTTTACATACACAGATCAGATCACTTTATAAATAAAATAAAAGTACATAATAATATTTGAAAAAGAGAAAGATGAGCCTCATCCCCGAGAGTCCCTTCAGACACGGCCAGACGATCACCGAGAGGACGTAAACTGGATTCTTGAATTACAGCAGAAGATGTGTTCTTTGAATAAATTAATTACTAGTATTTGTCCAGTTTAATTTTTTATAATCAAATATTTAACGTGAATGACTATAAAAAATTAAAATTGAACAAGTATTAGAGACGAGAATAGTAATTAATTAAAAATAATAGATGTTAAAAGTGATGATAAGGGTCGGGACCGCCGGGGCAAAGACGCTCCTCCGGCCAAACATTATTATTATTATTATTATTATTATTATTATTATTATTATTATTATTATTATTATTATTATTATTATTATTATTATTATTATTATTATTATTATTATTTGTGCCGATGCGATTATTATGATTCTCTGACCTTTTCAGAAATTGAGCCTCTAAAGCTTCCCTGGCCGCCCTAATCGGGCGCAGAGCTTCCATTGTTGGAGAAGAAGATGAAAGCAAGATGAGGCATATCAATATTAACTTCAACCACCCCATTATTAATATAATTAACCTTACCTTTGTTAATTATATATATCCTCGACCTTGTTTTTAGGTTTAGCGGGTACTATATATATATATATATATATATATATATATATATAGATGTATTGAAGAGCTTATTTAATTTATATAGTGCTCCTATACATGCATATATTCGTGTTAGTGCATGCAATTATTTGTCTAAATTTTGCATATATGGTCCCAAAAAGAAAATTTCTTTTCTTCTTTAGGGTGCCCCAAAAAGAGCTCTTCTTCTCTATGCATCTCATACTTTTAAATACATAATTTTATTTTGGAAATAGTCTCTCTATTTTTCTTAGGAGTAAGTTCTGTATTCACGGTGTCTCTTAAGACCCTTCTCTGATACTTATCGTCTTAAAACATTCTTCCAGTTTTGGTTTACGATATTTGGTGAAAGTTATTTTCAATTTAATTTAATTTATTTTATTATAGGTGTAAAATTAGATAATAAAAGCTATATATTTAAAAACTACTCTCTTCAATTCGAAATGTTCTTCCCATTTGGTTTTTCACGATCTCTAATATTTTACTTTGACTATCTATATCTATATTTATACATAGATATATTTGATAAAAATTTGATATATATATTGATATTAAATTTGAGCAATGCTAGGGGTACACCTAAGGTGTACCCCATTTGTCCCCCACCCCTTTCTCCACCATTTAATTTTATTTTATTTTTATTTATTTAATTTTTTTAGTTTCTTGCCTTTTTGTGGTGATGGAGGGGTGTGGGACAAATGGGGTACACCCCATAGTACAATGCATTTTTTCCACAAATCAAAATCAAAGTTCATAAAATTTGACCCAAAAAGTCAAATGTGAAGACATTTCCGGACGGATGAAGTACATCAAAAGCTCGACAAAACAAATATATTATGTTAGTGTCATCCCAAATCGGAAGTTCAAGAGCAAAATAATCGGTATATAAGCTCTTGAGTTGAACTAACTAATCGATTGGATTTAATCTTTTAATGTGATTAAAACCAAGTGTCTTATTATCCAATCCAGTTGTCCATACCCATCCTGGACTTTATCATGGTATCTGAGCAGGTTTTGGCCCACCTTGTTTGTCAAGTTGTCCGTCTAGATGTTCATTCATAGCGGCCCGTTAGTCTTTAGCCCAGTTGTCCATATCGAGTATGTACCCAATGGCCTGTGGCCCATTAACACGATTGCTCGTATGAAAGTCCATACCCAGCGGCTCGTGGTCCTTTAGGTCTTGGCGCTCAAAAAAAATTTAAGGGAATAAGAGTTTATTTGTAAGTGGTCAACCGATTAGATTCAAAATGGTTTGGTTGTCCATTTGAGGAAGAGTGTTAGAGTGTCATCCCACCTCGGAAGTTCAAGAACAAAATAATCGGTATATAAGCTCTTGAGTTGAACTAACTAATCGCTTGAATTTAATTTTTTAATGTGGTTCAACTCAAGTGTCTTATTACCCAATCCAGTTGTTCATACCCATCCTAAACTTTATCATATTATTTTATCAAATAACTAATGAAAATAAATAGAGAAAGTTATTAAAGTTTGACTATATGAATAGTAACAAGAAAGAAAGTTAAATTTTATGACGGAGGGAATAGAATTTAATTGGGTTGTTGTTTGTGAGTGTTTCTTTGTGCTGATAAGTAATCTCTAACTCATGAAATATTCATTGATGTATTTTGTAAAATAGGCTAAATGAGAAATGATTCATTTGGGGAAACTCATAAAATGTTAAGAGTAATTTTATACTCCATCCGTCCCAAAAAGTTTGATACGTTTAGAAAAAACTGCGTCTCGTAAAGTTCGTTACATTTCTATTAAAAAATCACTTTTACCCCTTACTTTTTCATACCCTACTTATCACATCATACTTTTTTTCTAATAATCTACCCATCACATCCTACTTTTACCCATCACATCAAGGATATTTTTGGAAAGTCAATACCAAAATATCCCTCCCTTTATTTCCCAAAAAATCAAACTGTCCCATTCTTTTTGGGACGGAGGGAGTAAATGATTTGGTCAAAAAAAGAAGAAACAAAAAAATTCGCTAAAAAAGTAGGTATAGTAAGACCAATATCTTGTTTTACTAAGTAGCTTAGACTCAGTATAAGTCAGTTTATAAACATATCGAAACATGACAACAACTGATTTATAAATTAAAACAACTTACAAGTATTTAGTTTTGATCAACTCTTAAAAGTATATATGGAGAAATACCATTTTGTACCAAATTCAAATGAAAGTTTTTTTTTGGGATGAGGAGGACAAAGGTAAGGAGAGGACAATAATGATGCATGGAACACAAAGAAGCTTTGTTGTCTTTTCATGGGCGGTCCAATAATATACCCCATTAAAGCAAGTCTTCATTTTTTTTCTGTTAAATCCAAACAAATGTAAATTTAACCAAAAGGTTCGCCAGTTTTGGAGGCTCTCAGCCTCTCATCATAGCTTTGTTTGAAGTCTTCATTTTTCTGTTATTCCATCAAAGCATAAGTGAGTCATGACACTTGACTCAATGTTGTAAAATAAAGAGAGCAATACTAAATTAAATTAGGTGTTTTCTCATTTTCACGTCACTAACACTATGTTTGGTTCAATGAATTTGGAAGGAAAAGAAAAGAAAATGGGATTCTCTAATTTTCTTTACTAAAATAGAAAAAATTTAGTTTTCTCTCCTCGTATATTTTGGCTTCTTATTTTCTTTTTCTTTCACTTTTCTTTCCTTTTCCTCTCTAACCAAACAAGAAAAATGTTTTTCTTCTCATTTTCTTTTCCTTTTCTTCTTAAATTCCTTGATCCAAACATAGTGTTGGAACAAAATTATGAGACAAAGCAAATAATAAGTGATAGAGGAAATACCATATAGTAATAATTAACAAAAAGAACAAGACTAAATCAAATTAAGCACAAGTAAAAGCAATATCAGTTTTGAACCTGGCACTTTAACTGTAGAGCTTTTCTTAAAGATGAAAAGTCAAGAGAGGCCTAGCTTGCTCACATCTATGATCAGAGGATCTAGCCTCCTACCTACATTTGCTATATTATTGGAACCAAAGTGCTAAAAGAAACAGAGAATTATATTTTTTTTAAAAAAAAGTGTGGCGGACAATGTGATGTTTGTCCTTGATGTTTTGTGCGACATTCATAACAAAACTACAGATTTGGCATAAAGACAAGGGAAAGAAAAGTCTGATTTTTTTTCAACTACCAATTGGTTCGTGTTCTCCATGTTACTATGACTCAGAAAAATGGCTAGCTTTTTCTACCTTTTCCAAAGTCACGTTCTTATGCTAGACCATTTTGTTCCCGCATAATAATGGGGGCGTAACAAAGCATTAAAATCTCGTGGGAGCAGCGAAAATTACGAATAAAAATAATCTACCCAAATAGATTAAACAAACAGGCTGCGGGAAAGGATGTTGTAGCAGTGTCACAGAAACAGATGACAGACAGTATCTAACTCACCTTCTATGTCACATGCACATACTCATATATGCAAAATAAAATAAAAGGCAGTAAACACTACACACAAATGTGTTTACACACTTCGGAGCAAATTCTCCTATTCTGTAAGGTCCATGTTAGTGTAACAGTCCTCCAGTAAACAAATTAATAAATTAAACTAATCACAAGCAATAATATAACACCTCTTCTTTATGTTTATGACAGAATCTACCTTACGTGTATGTGTGTGTCTATACACACACACACACATGAGATTGACTCCAGTGAGATGACACCTTACTTATCGTGAGAATGGTGCATTTTGGGGCCACCACAATGCACTTTTCACTTGTAGTAGTGCATTTTCATCAATGGCGGAAAACTTTGATTTATTTACACAATTACCACCGCGATATTTCATTTTCTTAGATTTTTTATTTTTAATAGCCCTTAGATCTTAAATCTAATTGATCATATGCATTCTCATTTCTTTCACCGTGCATCATTCTCATTTGAACTAATATATATAATGTATGTATATAATAATCCTTCACGAATCACCAAGTTACTAGAAAATTTAAAGGTCGCGACGCAAAGTTATTAAAATTTAAATGACACAAAAAAGGGTACATGAATGCTTAACGTTCAATTACCCAAGCCTAAAACCTTATAGTGTAAATATAGTGAGCATGCTCTGACCATTAGAATTGGATGAAACTTCAAAGCCATTTCACAATGTAGCAATTTAGTTCGTGTACATCTACCATTCTACCTCATATATTTCATACCAACACGAGAGAAAAGAGCCATTACAGTGTTGTTCCATTGTAAAGGTCTCAAGTTTGTCCTTCCTCAGCCCATGAGACTGATAACATAACCCAGAAGAGAGGTGAACTACTGCCAGCTACCTAAGCATATGAAAGTGAGACCGGGAGAGAGAATAATACCGATAATTTTAAGATGATGTTTGGATCTCTCGCTTCATCAACCCAGCAGCAAAACTTTTCACCATGCGTAGGTTCTACGAAGTGAAGGACTTGCCAACTTATTGGGGACGATGAGTTATGTAAAAATAAAGAAAAAGCAAAAAAGCATGAAGAAACGATGGCAGAAAGAAGGATATCTTTTCTTCATGAATGGGATGGTTGAGCATCAGCAGCTTATTATTATTCACAATACACCGGACTAAAAGTTCTTTCGCTTCCTCGTGCTTCTTCCTTAGCATGTTGCATATCTGCAAAGAAACGATACAATAACAATGGAAAAAGAGAAAAACAATCTCTATAATACTTCTCGGCTGCAGGGATCAAGGACGTCTTAGCAAAGCAGTTCATGAATATCATAGTATTATTTACATCTTCAAGCTCCTTTGTATATGCCTCAGCCTTGTCTACATTCTCATCATCTTCCAATGTTTGAAGGGCTCCTAATTTTTTATTGTTTACACCCTGACAAATATCAAATACAGAAGCCTGGGAAGCGTTGCATTCAACCCTCTTGATACTGGTGGCTTGGACCTCACTCCGATTGTCCTACATATTAGGAGAAACAAAATGGTTGGGATAACCATATGGATAGTCCTCATAAATTTGTCTGCATGACTTAGAAAAATGGTCTCAAGAATCTTAACATAATAATCCTTCGCGAATCACCTGTGCGGTAACAATTCTTTCTGAAATTGCAGAAAGCTCTCTGTTTCCATTTGGTGATCCTGAGGGCCGTTTAAATGGACTGGAAGTTGTCGTTTCAGAAGTTGTCTGCAAAACACAAGACGGTGCTGTAGAACCAAGCAAGATTTAAATTTTCATGATGGAGAACTGGGAGTCATCCTTGACATTAACAAACCTCAGGTGTTTTCCGTTTAAGAGGTGTGGTGTTTGGCTTTTGTGTTGTTGGGGTGATAGAATCTGTAACCTTAGCTTGTGCGATGGCTTTTAAACCAGTATTCTGATCAGGGTTCCTTGAGGTTTTACCATCTTTGAGCAACAATGATTGAGATACAGAAAGACTTGCTCCGAAATTTCTGTATGTGCAACATGAAAGAATAGCAATCAGAGATTAAACCGGTCAAAACAAGATTTCTGTAGAAGTATTAATGCAAGTCAGCTATACAATGCAATACTTGGAATGTTTTGGGCTAGATAATCCCAGTATCTGAGTGCCACCCTTGATCAGGCAGATTTTGTTGCTATCAGCCAGAGTGTTCTTGGATGGTGAAGATAGAACAGAACTTTCTAGAACTCTTGGATTTCTACTGTTTTGTAGCATGGATTTGCTCTGCTGGCTCAAACTCAAAGGTTTGACATGTAGACTGAAGAGAAATAATTCCACAAATAATATTAGAAAAAAATATGTAACTATAAAAAACAATATTACGCATTTACTAGTACTACAACAACAACAACCCAGTTGAATCCCACGATAGTAGGGTCTGGGAGGGTGTGTGTACGAAGACCTTTCTCCTACTCGAAAGTAGGGGGATGTTTCCAAGGGCGTGTGTACGCATTTACTAGTAGTAAGCATGGTAAATTATAGGCAGAGTTTGTACATAGATGAATATGCATAATTAGAGGAAAACATGCACAATGCGAGAAGCTTTAACACTGAAGTTCACACAAATGACCAAGGAAATCCTGATACAAATTATCAGTGTTTGACTCACACAATGATGAGTAATGAAAAGGGTGTCAAAAGGATCCAGACCTTAGAATCAGCCACTGTTATGTGTGGCAGTGAGTTTATGCAGAACTTGTTTGAAAAAAAAGGTTTTCTTTTTTCAACAAGGAAAGTTTCCAAGAAAGTCAATCAAACGCTTGCCACACACAAACTTACATTTTAGCAGAAAGACCTTTAGAGCTTTCTTGACATCCTGTCTGAGGAGTGCTACTCTTAAGTAATGGTTTAGATCCTGGCAATGTGATACCAGCTATCGTCCCATTTTCTTCATCTTGACCATTGTGCACCCTGTGAAGAATATTTTAGTAAGAGAAACTATTATCCCTTATAAATTTAAAATGACGATCATATTTCTCTTACATTCCGCCAACTGATTGATTTGGTTGGCTTGTGCCAATTTTTTTGTTAGCAACATCCAAAAATTTTGTCTGTATCAGTGACATCTGTTTTTGAGCAGCAATCTCAATTGATGGCTTGAAAAACTTTGACTGGATGGCACTACACTCCCCGTTCCCTTTCACCAAATTGTGAACAGAAGATCCACTGCACGACCATGCTTAGCAATGAACCAATGATGCTTCAAAAAGACTCATAAATCGGGATTTGTTCAATTTCTGGACTACTTGGGAACAAAAGGTCCTTAAGCAGTAAGCACTTAAAAGTCTGTTTTTATCACATGAAGACAATAACATCAATGCATTTGTAGTTCTGTATACTTTGATGATTTCCAATAATCAGAAAAGCCTGTAAAGTAGTTCTCTACCTGCTTGATAAGGATTTAAGTGGTCGCGAAATAGGTTCTTCTATCTGTTCAGTAACTTTTGTGAAATGGTCATTCTTCTTGGCACTTGCAATATTAGTGTGTTCAGAGTGTGTATTGTTCCCCTCTATAGTGCTAACTGAAAGATCTTTGTCACTCTCAAATTTGCCACCCTCCTGATCAGTTTCCTGTGAGGCGTGGTTGTGATGTCCAGGAACTCTTTCATGCATTGCTTTCTCGCCATTTGAGTCCAGATCAACTATATCTTCAAGATCGTTCTCTACATCTGAAGAACTGGTTTTTGTTGCCATGGAACCAACATCTCCCTGCAAGGAAGAGCATGCATTGTTGCTTGACTCATGCCCAGAAGAATGGTGAGAATCTTCTATGGCTTCCTGAGCAACTGGTTCTGGAGAGATTCCCTTCTCAAGTTGGAATACAGCTTTGGGCGTGTTTGTGGATGTTCTTGTATGAAGTAATTCAGATTCATGAGTAACGGTGGTGGAAGATATTGACGCATCATGGTTATTTCCAGTACACTCCAAAGAAAAATTCTTGCCTATAGTATCAGGAGTTAGGCCACTGTCAACCAAAGAAACAGCTGTTGAGGTTACTGGCTTCTCAGGTACATAATGCTTTTGGGGCGAGCCAGCAACCAGTGCATCACCATCTTCAGTTATGAGTCCGGAGCCTGGATGTGCAATTGCTCCAGAAAAGCTTCCAATTTCTTGATCCTTCTTACTGTGATCTTCTTTCCTCGGGCTTGACTGCAGACTAAAACTATCCAGCCTAAACCCATAACTGTTGGTTATGCTGTTTGTTATAAAGTACAAATAAATTTGATAATGCAAGAAGCATAAAATATTTAGGCTTACTCCTTGAAATCAAAGTTGAAGGTAAAGCCACCTGATATTCCCTTATTATCGCCACCTGAGGATTCTTTGGATTTTCCCTTAGTATTTTCACTTTTCTTGCATGGAGAAGAAATATCAAGGTCTGACATGTCAATTTTGAAGGATGACATCTTGCTAAAATCGCTGTCAAGATTGAAATTCATATCCCTGTTGAAAATTTAATATTTTAAATGATTGCATGTCAATATTTTCTTGTTTAGAACAAAAATACCACGTATAGCAGTGAGATGGCTTATGGAGCACAGAAAACTGTGAGCAAAGACAAAGATATAAAGTTGATATATAGGAGAAACTGAAAGTACAAGCAAAGAATTGATGGTCTACCATCAAGTTACAGAGTTTCCAGGTATGTGTTGAGATCATACATCTAGCAATGTTATGCACATATGCGACCATCAATACGTCATACATACATAACAGGCAAATACATTAATACAATGCTGTATAATCAAAGGAAGGAATAGGAAAGCTTTGCAGCAATTACTCATTGTCAAAGTTGAATGCTTTTTTCTTATTCTTGGAAATAGGCCCAAAGTCAAAATCCATAGGGTCATCCCCGATGGAAATTGATTTCCATGAGTTGAGAAAGTCGCTCCCAATATCCAGATCTGAAACAAACATAATGGAAAACAATAACTATTAAACTGCCCCACACATAGTGAGTTGAGAAAGTCCCTCCCAATATCCAGATCTGTAACAAACATAATGGAAAACAATAACTATTAAACCGCCCCACACATAGTGTACTGCACAACATCCATAGACAACAAGAAGCAAATAGTGAACATCTTAAAGACTTTTTAATATAGAAATGTGCAATTTGTTATTCTTCTTCAATAGTTCTTTACATTTTACACTGCCAAGCATATCATTCATTTTCAGGCTCAGGATTTTTTTTCTAAGGTTCTTGCCAAATGTATCAAAAATAAATTTTCATCCCCCCCCCCCCCCCCCCCCAAACCCCACTCTCACACACACACCACAAGTATCCAGATCAAATCTAGGAAACTGGGCAACCCTTGAGAGCTTTATTTGATCAACTCCATGTTTCAATGAAAGACAAACACATTGGAGATTAGAATACCTAGTGATGAGCTTTTCTCTCTTGAATTGGAAGATGAGGCAGCACCCTTCTCAGTTTCTGCCATCTACAATATAGATTTTTATTTGATATGATTATAAAATCAGAATTAATTTGGGCAGGACTATAATATCTAGCCGTCAAACAAACAAATAATGGCAAGCAAAACCACAAGGTAAAACCAAGACCATCATATCAATGAACACCAATGTTTCTCTTGCCAAGTATTGGGATAAAACAAAATCGAAAATGTTTTAAATAGTAACAGTTATACGGAGTTGCTCAAGCTTTTTCTAAATAAATCCTTCAACAGACACTAATGTTACTCTAATTGGAAAAGTGAGGCAATAACATCATCTAAGATTCTTATCCTTTTTCTTAATGTTGACTATGAGACAAATGAAGAAGCTAGAGATACAAACATGTTAGTGAAAAAAATATCATAATGGTACTAACACTATGGAATTAAAGACACCAATACTGCAATATGTTCCAGGAGATTAAAGACAGTACACATGAAATTTGGCAAGGCAATCAAGTCATGTTGACCACTTGAACTTGGAGACCTTATCTCCACTTTAAGAAGTCTAGAAAGAGAAACATCTTTCAAGAAAAGCTCAGACCTGTTATGTTTACTCCTGCCTCACACATGGTTCAATGAAGACAGTCTACTCAGCATTAACTCCAATTCATGCGTGAATACTATGTTAAATATGTTTCCTTCTCTGACTAGGGGTGCAAATTCTATGCAACAAACTTAACACTAAAACCGGAAGTACAGAAACCAGTAGATGTTGGATCTGTATGTCCGTTTTTAATTAATCATCAGATTGAGCGTGAAAATGCTGTTTTGAAGTTTAAACACCCTAACACAGACGCATAAACCAAATCCAAATGAGATAAGCAAAAATGCAATAAATTTGACAAAATGGATCAATAACAGAACCAGCCACACAATGAACCGTTTTCAGTGAAATAAAATCCAGTACCAGATCATCATCTGGAATACTTACGCAATCTAATATCACTTCAAAAAACAAAGGATTAATAATCTATCATACTATCAAATTTTACATTCCGTACTTCACCTTAAAGCGGCATCCCTAGCATAACTACTCAAATTTGATAGATCAGTTCATAAAAACAAACACTCAAGGATTCCGAATCGATCAGCCGTATTATCGAATTGAAAATGACTGCCGCGAACATCCGCTAACCGAGTTCAGATCAAAGGAAATTGAGAACGCAATATTGATAGAACTTGTGAATGTATGGGAGAAGGAGACATACATTGGCTTTAGTTCTGTACTCTGGCAGTTTCAGGCGAACCTAAAGAGCTTGAGGACCGTTCATCCTCTTTCTGCGCCCAGAGCGACGCAGGCCGTGATGGAGTTTCGCGCAATCGCAATCCAGAAACGGAATGAAACCGTACGAACAGGAGGGTTTATATACTCCTCCATCTATAGGATATTTGAATTTATTTTCAAACAATTTTATTTCAAAATTGCAGAAATGGAAAATATAAGTAAAAATTACTCAAAATAATCTCAAATTTACCCTGTCTTTCAAAAATAAACCCACCTTTCACTATGATGCATAATAATTCCAACTTTATTAAAATTTGCCAATTTTGGGTCGCCGTTAAATTTCTAACGAAGAGTTAACAAAAATGCCGGTTTTAGACAACAAAATGAAAGTTGGGATTATTTTTGATGAATTTTTGTTTTTTAATTTTTTCTTTTTTGAAATTTTTATTTAAATTTTTTGAATTACTTTCAACCTCCATTTCTTTTTCTTTTTTAAAGATTATTCTTACCTTAGAAAAAAAATAGATATAAAAAATAATGAAAATGAGAAAAATAACTAAAACAATACAAAATTAATCAAATAAATAATGTAATCAATAGAAATTAAACAGAAAATGGTAAAAATAAAATAAATATATACGGAGTGGTGGGTTTTAACATTTTACACACTATACGAAGTCTTAATATACTACTTATTTTTTAAAAGAACAAGCCGTCTGGTAAAATTGGAATTATTCTAGATAATTTTTTTCAAAAAAATAAGTAGTGATATGTTAATACTTTGTATGATACGTAAAATGTTAAAACCCACCCGTATATTTTTATTTTAGTTTTACCAATTTCAAGTTAGTTTCCATTGATTACCTTATTTATTTTATTATTTTTGTATCATTTTAGTTACATTTCTCATTTTTTCATTTTTATATCTATTATTTTTATTTTTTAAACTAAGACTAATCTTTAAAAAAAGAAAAAATAAATGATGATGGAGGTAGAAAGTAATTCAAAAAATTTAAATAAAAAATTTTTAAAAAATTAAAAAACAAAAAATTCATAAAAAATAATCTCAACTTTCATTTTGTTACCCAAAACGGGCATTTCCGTTAACCCTCTGTTAGAAACTTAACGGCGACCCAAAATTGACAAATTTAAGTAAAGTTGAGATTATTATGCATCACAGTGAAAGATGAGATTATTTTTGAAAGACCGGGTAAAGTTGGGATTATTTTGGGTAATTTTTCCAAAATATAAATGCCAAGTACTCCGTAGTAACGAGTCCTCCCTACATTCAAAAACTATTCATAACACATCCACTAAAATACGGAGTACTAAAATGTCGAAGAAGATAAAAAAAGGTTTATAGTAAAATTAGGATGTATAATTATAATGACAATATATAATATTAAAAGACACTACATCGTTGCAGTGAAATATTTTTTTAAAATAAAAATAAGTCACTTTTATTTTTAGATAATAACTATGAAAGTGTTTTTCTGTGTTTATGCATTATTGACTTATTATTGTTAAGTAATTTTTAACTTATGAGTTGTTTATAAGTAATTACGGAGTACTTTTTCGAGTAACTATAATGAACTAAATGACAAAGAAGCTATTTAAAAATATTCATAAAAAACAAGAGATAGTTTTGTAAATAATCTGATTTGAATGAGAAAATGAAAAAATGGCTTAAAAATAATTAAGTAAGACCAATTTTTTAATTATTTATAAGCAACTTATAAGTTAACCAATAAGTGACTAATAAGTCAATCAGCTTATAACCACAAAGAAACACATTATCAGCCGACTCATGTGATTTAAAAATTAAAAATTTTATAAGTAACTTTGACCGTTTATAAGCATAAAGAAACACTTATTATGTTTTGCTTATATTTTGGTTCCTCCTCACTTTCTCGAAAAACACACCAAGTACCCGCAAAGCATAACGGGACTGATTCCCCAAGGGGTAATTATTACATGATGCAAGCAAGATTCAATTCCCACATGTAGTGTGGAGCAATATTTTGCGGTTGAATTTGTGGGATAGATATAAGGATGAGCTCTTTACATACACGCGGGAGAGACATTTCTCTTTAAGAGGCTACATGACTCCTTATTTAAATCCTTCCCCGTGGTGGGCAAATTATATGGTTTAATCGGATATACTGTACATCATGAAAAATTTATATTTAAAAAATATTTTAAAATGAACGTTATTTTATTATAAAATGAACATCATGTTTGGGAATGAATAATATTATGAGGAGACTTGGAATGAAGACTACATTGTTTATAAATCAATGTTATAGTTGTAATGAAAAAGTATGAAAATTAATATTATGCTGATTTAAAATGAACACTATATTGATTTAATATAAATATTTTTTTGGGTATATCTAACTCGAAGTACATTGATACGTACTCCCTCCGTCTCCCTGTATTTGTTCACTTTCATTTTTGCACACCATCCAATGCACTTTTTTAATCCATTTTATCTTGTAATTTGTATATTAAAAAATTATAAAAATTATATATTAATAATCTATATGTTAAGACAAATCAAACAAGATCACACATGACTATATTTAGGCTCACACATTGAGAGAATTTGATAAGTCAAAATGCTTAGATGAACAGTTCCAAAAGTCAAATGTGGACAAATACAGGGGGACGGAGGGAGTATAATATAGGCTCTTAAAGCCCTTTTCCATACTCCACTTTACAGCTACTTATCCTTCAACTGTAAAGTAATTACGAACCCAAAATGGGGTTTTAGTGTCTCTCTCCTTCCCTCCTATGCAGATTTGCTTTTAATAATGGGAAAAAAGACAAAAGTATGAGCAAAATATTGAAAATATATTAAAATAGGATTTTTATGTCTTTATTCTTGAAATAGGAGTTAAAATGCATTTACATTATCAAACATGATCATGTACATTACCAAAAAATATAGTAATGTGCACATGTATAATGCCACATTACTACAGTCCGAACTTCTATTTCGGAAATAAAAACATGAAACTCCTATTTTGAAACTTTTTCCATGTTGTAATCCTATTTGGGATAATTTCTGTTAACAATGCAATGTACTGAATTTTTTTTCTTTTTTTCTTTCTTTTTTTAGTAGCCTTTTTCAATTAGTTGTGTGTATGTAACCAGTCCCAATTTTCGTGGTTAGATGTTCAACCGAAGATGAGGGCCATTGTTCAGCGAGTGGCATCTGCCAGTGTTGAGGTCCCTACGAACTCTCCTTCCCTCTCCCCCAATCTCCCTCCTCTCGTTTTTGTATCTTCTTCGCGTGTTAACCTGCGTAGCTATGGAAATTCGCAGGTGGAAGGCCGTCTTGTATCCGCCATCGGCCCGGGTCTCTTGGTCCTCGTCGGACTTCACGACTCCGACAGTGACGCCGACGCTGATTATATGTACGCAATCCCCTATTTTCTTAGTAGCAATTAGCAGTTGCATAAGCAATTTTCATACATCCCTGTCGAGTATTTGTAACCCTTTTTGTTTTGTTTTTTGAATTTGATGATAATGACCAGATGCCGTAAGGTGCTGAACATGAGATTGTTTCCTAACGAAGAGACTGGGAAAACATGGGATCTCAGTGTAATTCAATCCTCTGTCTCTTCATTTTCTTCTGTTAGATCATTGCTTTGCAATTTGCATATAGTCAGTAACTGTGTTTATGTATTAACTATTGAGATTTGTCAATTGCTTGCCTTATTTCAGGTTATTGGAGGAAAGTAAGGTGAAGTGTTCTTTAATCTTTTTCTAGGAAAACAACAGAAATTTTTCATTCACATGTTTTACTTGAGCAGTGTGACTGAGCTCAATTATCTTAATGGAGATAAATTTTAGAACATTTTTTTTGGTTTGTTTTAAACAACTACTACAAAAAAAACTATGAAATTTAACAGTTTTCGGGCCTTAATTTGGGGTTCAACACACGATCAGGGACTCAAGGCACAATTCCTTTTCCTCAAAGCCCATTCTAGAGTTCCCAAAAAACTATGTTTGAACACGGGAAATAATGGGGAAATGATTTTTTAAATTGGAAGTAGTTCTATGTTTGGTGGGGAAAAAATTTTAAAATTGATTTCTTGAATCCAAACCATTTTTCCCCGCCTAATGTCCTTCCCTAGCTTCTTACGGATTCCAAACATACCCAAAAGCTTATTGGTGATCTTTTGCACTTCTGGGAATTCAGATCACCTTTGCAATCCCAAGGACATTTTACCATTAATATGGATAATGCTTACTGGTTAGCTCATATGGATAATGCCATTTACAATTTCATAGTTTGAACACTTTTAGTGGGGTTGGGATTCATGAGAATTTATTTCTTAAAGCTGTACTGTTCTTAACTTAAAGGTGTCATCTTTGTTGATAGTTCGTTAACAACATCTAGCTGAATTTTTGTAATGGCAGGTTATTCAGAAGAATCACGAAATTCTGTTAGGTACTGGTATTTTATTTGTTATTTTGCTCTTTATACTTTTGTTATTGATTAGGGATCATCAAATGGTATAAACAATCATGTGATTATGGCTTGTGCAGTGAGTCAGTTTACATTATGTGGGATTTTGAAGGGAAATAAGCCAGACTTTCATTTAGCAATGCCTCCAGATAAAGCAAAACCCTTCTATGCAGCTGTGGTAGAGAAGTTCAGGAAAACTTACAAACATGATGCGGTCAAAGGTATCTATCACTCTTTCTTGTGCTCATATTTGAATTAAGGTAGTTTTTGTTGAGATGTAGACCTGTCAAAAAATGACCCGACTTGTTTTTGACCCGAAACCCGACCTAAAAACACTGGGTTTTGAACAAAGGTTTTGATGACCGAATCCGAAATTGACCGAACCCGAAATGACCTGCTAAAAACGGGTCAAATCCGACCAAACCCGAACCCGACCCGACCAACCCGCTAAAGTAAGAATTTTTTAAAATCATACACATTACTACTCGTTTTTAGTGTACAAATTTATATTTTCAGACAAAATTTTAATGATATTGCATAATTATCTTATTTTTTTTCAAAACATAAGCATTTTTAAATTCCTTATATTGATTTATATATCTAAAAATTACTTCAGACGTTAAAATAAAATAATTTTATAGATTTAATACATTTATTTTGATATTTTAAATTTATTTAATAGAAAATGTAAGTGTTAATGTCAATTTAAAAATTTTAAAAACCAAAGTCATAACCTGTTGGGTCAACCCGAACCCGACGATACTGGGTCATGAACATACAGTTCTCAACCCGAACCCGAATTGACCCAAACCCAAAATAACCCAAACTTGAAGTGAACGAACCCAAACCTGACCTGACCGACCGATTTGCCAGCTCGATTGAGATGTTAGATAAGATAATACAATGCAATCACATATTCCTTCCATCTTGAAATAAATATCACGGTTTGGCTTCACAAATTTTAAGAAGAATGTTGAAAAATTAAAAAATGTGTGATCGGATCTCGGAATTTGTTTAGGGGAGATAGAATCTTGTGAGCCACATGTTTCACTCCTTAATAGGAAAAATTAGAAGTTTAAAATACATACTCCGTATTTATTATGTCGCACCAATCTACACCAATGTACTCAACTTAGTTCCTTCCTATGAGAGACCATGATGCTTGTTCTTAACTTGTAGTGTATTCATTTCTATATCTTCATGGTCTCTTGTTCTTCTCTCTAGTAATTTGTACTACTTCTGTGACATCTTCAGCTAATTTTATGACTCTTATGTCATTTTAAATTCAGGTGAATTTTCTGGGATCACTTTATAGTGCCTTTTTTGAATGTTCTGCTATCACACTCATCTGTTTCTTCCCTTTTTTTGGGTTTTTTTTTATCACAAACAGATGGCATATTTGGTGCAATGATGAAGGTGAGACTCCCTCTTTTTTCAATTCTGAGCTCCACTTGATGCATAATTAGATTTTGATTATACAATGTCTCTAAATCGTGGTTGGTTGGTTGAAAGGTGAACTTGGTCAATGATGGTCCGGTTACAATGGAAGTTGACTCAACCCAGAAGACAAAATGAAGGAATGCATAATAAATGGCATGGAACTTCAATACAAGGTATTGCACAAGTGTTCATCTGTTTTATCATGAAGAATATTGATATTTTGAAGTGTCTTGGCTTTAACACAAACTTTCATTGTACTTACAAAAAGTGAAGTGCATTAGAACTGAAAATCTTTAATGATTCTATATCATATTTTCAATATATCCTGTTCGCCAACTTGCACGATGAATATTACATTATTAGAGCCTTTCGCTGCCATTAGGTCTTAAAAAAATCATCGATGGTGGGACGCGCTGTGTTGAAGATGTAATAGTAAGCGGCTTGAGTTGGATGTACTGCGTCCCAAAACAAATATTTCGATGCATCTGAGCAAACTATGGATTTTGGATTGCACAAAACCGAATATTCAAATAGGCCGCTGCCACAACACCCTTTATTCACCTCATCAAAACCTACAAGTTGAACAAACAAGTCTTAAGCTATGTTAGGCACATCAGAATGAGTGATGGTTAACTCATAAATCTGTAGTAGTATATTTGGACTATCAGCCATAAAAAAATTAATGGACTCACCAAACTTTGTAGGATTTTGTACCATGTCTTCCAAAGGTTTGTAGATCTCGATGTAGGCCAATTTGTGGAAGCGAGGTCGCATGGTTCTCAATCTGTCTTGGAGCATCTGGTTGTACTCTCTTGCAGCCACAGAGTAAGCGTTGAGGCATTTGCGTTCATAAATTGGACTTTGGGAATCCCAAGTGATCACTGTCGGCAAACACCCAATCGGCGGTAGCCCAACCACTCCTATGCGTTGCGCTCCTTCTTCCATTAAACCCTGCTTAAAAAAACAATTCTTTTCTCATGGGATATATATGGGTGTTTCTCTGTGCTGGTGTTTATTCGCTAATAATTGATAAGCAGTTTTAAACTTATAAGCTGTTTATAAGCTAAATATTCTTTCATGGAAGTAAAATAACTTATATGATAGATAATTCATTTGGAAATATTATTAAATGGTGAGGGACAAATTTTTCAAATAAATCTTGTCAAAACAGAGAAACAAAAAAATGGCTTAAAAATAAGTAGGTAAGACATACTTATTTACTCTGGCTTATAAGCAGCTTATAGATTAGCTTATAAGCACAGAGAAACATGTCATGAGCTGACTTATAAGTTAAAAACTGCTTTTACAGGGAAACCTGTCATGATCTGACTTATAAGTTAAAAACTGCTTATAAGCAGTTTTGACCAGCTTATAGCCACAGAGAAACACCCACATAGTAGATGGAAGCGACAAAGTATCCTGTACTCGTGTCTAGTTACCTGCAAAAAGTTTTGAACGAGGTGCAGCAAGAAGTGGCGGTACGCAGGGAGTGTGTACTGTTGACGCCGTAGCGATGGGGTGCCAAAGTAAGCGTTGAGGTCATTAGTTCCCGAGCTTACCAAGAACACAGCGTTGCTCACCACACGTTGCATTGTCTCCCTCCCCATGCCCTCTTCCAGCCTTGCTTTAAACTCTCTAAAGTATTGAAGCTGCCTCTCTATGGTAATCACGCCTCCCTGGCATTATTATCGAAAACACCAATTTGGTATAGCTAGTGTCGTTTCTATGGTAGACCTAAGGTCATGTCATTTTTGTTAACCTTAAGTATTTTTTTTCCATTTCTTTTGCGAGAGAAATAAAATGTTATCATCAGGGTAGACATTAGGGCCACCATAGCATTTGGCATTTGTTTTTCTACTAGCTGAGCGGATTATATGAAGTAAATAAGAGATAGCATTGTAAATCAACAACGTACAACCTATCCCAAAAAATGTACTCCCTCCGTCCCATGAAACATGAGATGTTTTGCTTTTTGAAGAGATTTAATAGAGTGTATTTTGGTATTGAATTTCCAAAAATGTCCTTTGATGTGATGAGTAAAAGTAGGATTTGATGGGTAGATTATTAGTAAAAAGGTATGATGTGATAGGTAGGGTATGAAAAAGTAAGGGGTAAAAGTGACTTTTTAATAGAAATGAGAAGTGTTTTATGGGACGGATGAAAAAAGAAAGGAGAAAGGTTTTATGGGACGGAGGGAGTACAAATTTAACGACACTATAAAATGTGTTAAATATGGTTTTAGGCTCTTTTAGCCTATGCAAATTAGGTGACTTATTTTAGGTCCCTGTAAAAGAATGATCGAGTCATCCTTATGAAATTATTTATTTTGAAAATGGTGCTTAAATGTAGGTAGCACTTCTAATTTGTTGAGATAATACATTTCTTTCGTACTCAATATCTTAATCTTGTATTTATAATAACTCAAACACAATTCTCGTGTCATATATTATGTCTTTCATTGAATTACATATCAATTCTCAAATTTTATTATACTATATTCTTAAAAAAATTGGAAACTAGAGATGTAAAATGATTAGAGACATAATTTAGGGCATGAAAATTGTGTCGGAGGGAATAAAAATGTAAGGTGTTGAAATTTCGGTGGGCCGAGTGAACAGGGTGGAGTGTCGGGTGAGATTTGACCACTTTTTCATATAAAGTCTAGATTCACTTTATAACCACAAGCTTAAAGCCAATAGTTAGTGTTTCACCTTTCTTTACATGGGAGTAGTATCACTTTAATTATCCGATGGGAGATGGAATCCCAACACTCCTCTCAAGTGGTAACTAGCTTGGTCTAGTTACTACTTGGGTGAATGTAATGGGTCTACCATCTCAATATATTTATAGCTACCTCGGTGAATATCGGGACGAATCGAACCCGAAATGAATTTGGCTCTAATACCATATTGAAATATTGGTAGACGGAGTGAACTGGGTGGAGTGTCTGGTGAGATTTGACTATTTTTTTCATATAATGTCTAGATTCACTTTCTAACCAAAAGCTTAAGCCAATAGTTAGTATTTCACCTTTCTTTATATGAGAGTGGTATTCAGTTTAATTATAAACTCATGTGGGATGGAATCCCAGCATAAGACTAACATGTTAAGTACGAAATAAATGTACTATATCTCAACAAATTAGAAATGCTAATTATGTTTGAAGACCATTTCCATAGTAAAAAAATTTGAAATGATTATTTGATAATAAAAATATCATAAGGAAAAAAACCCATCTATTTTACATGGAGTAAAAATATACAAAGTATATTGCCCTTATAAAATCAATATACTCGGGTAACATTATTTTTGTATATTTGTTTGTTGATTCCATTACTTAATGTGCACCATGTCTTATAACTATTTAGCCCAAACATACACCGCCCTGCCCACGTGAGTTGGCACACATGTTTCACACAACAAGTACGAAGATTATATTTTTTTTGGGTTCAAAAAATTAATTTTTAACTTTTAAAAATATTTTATAGTTTTTTCTAATGATTTAAAAAATATATGATTAATGTACAATAATATTGTATATCAAAATCTATAATATATCACCTCAAACACGTAAGAGAACAAATTCATTTTTTTTTCAAAATTATACTAATTTTTTTAACATATTTATTTAGGTGATTATTTAAATAATTGATTTTTTCATTCTTTAATTCTTCTACTATTTTCTAACTCTTTCTATTTTTTCTAATTTCTTCAAGTTTCTTTTTCATAAAATCATAATGGGCAAAATTAATTTGGAATTTAGTTAGTATGCACTATGCATGAACCAATTCAACTACATTCATTCATTCCTCTTTTACAGCTTTACTACGGTAAATTCATGGCTAGTCCGTAATAGTACGCCTTTTAGCACAACATGCATTTATTACTTCCTCTATTCAAAAAAATTTTCCGGTCTTGATTCAGTTTGGAGATTAAGAAAAGTTAAAAAGTATAAAGACTTTTCATGTTTGTTCTTGATATGATAGAATAAAGTGAATAATGTAGATAAAAAGTAGAGTATAAAGATCATGATCTTGTTTGGATCAATGTTTTTGATTAGCGTTAGCGTTTTAGATAAAATTTTGACGGTGTAGATTAAATCTGAAAACGCTAACGGTAAAGACTACCTACCGTCGGTTAGCATTTTTAAAATGCTAACACTAATCTCTAACGTTGATGTTAAACGAGACCCATATTCATTAAGATTTTGTTGCCAAAATAAGAAATGGAAAAGAAATTTTTTGCCGGAGGAAAGGGAGTATTTAAAAAATGTACGTACGATTGATGGAGAAGTCAAAGGGTCATATCCGGAGCCACCGGAGGCAAAACTCACGCCGGTGGTTAACTCTTCCAAGCTCAGACTCTGGTCCAAATATGGCGGTATGTTCTCTTTCACTCCGATATACGACGCTGCATATAAACATGCTCCAGATCACTTCCATTTTTTGTTATAGATATGAAAATTTTCTATAGTTAAAAAAACAAATACCAATGAAATCGGTGACAAGGCGGCCGTTGGAAAATCGTCCGGTGGGGACGTGGTTGGGGAAGTCGCGGCCGTAAGGAGGGAAGTTGCATTTAGCGACGGTGAATATGTAGTTGTTGTTGCCGGGGTCTACGGTGGAGTCTCCGAAGACGAAGAGGGGAGATAATGATTGGTTCAACAATGGCAGATGATCACTCTGCTTCAAGGAAGAAGAAGCTCCAACTATGTTGGAGATGGTGGAGAAGACGATGAAGACGACAACATGAAGAATACTGCTCCCCATAAGTGCTGGGATTGCAACCCACGACCTAATAAAATTGTGAGAGCCCATCTATCTTTTTTTGCCCCCTCTTCTTTATTTTGTCTATGTGAAGCTTATATATATGCATTACATATACACACACTTATTGAGGCAGCCATAAATGTTGTCGAAAGAAGTTCATATTTTCCTTATTCGAATGTCCTCAAAAAAGTATGGCCTGGTGGTGGGAGGGACTGTGTGTACCCAAACCTTGTCCCTACAAAATAAATATATATCGACCCGTAATATTAAACACTTGTCACGTTTAGGTTGTTCCAATCAGGGCAGTTTCAAGTAACTTTGATTTCTAACGATTTTGCATTGTAGTTAGTTTGGAAAGGATTGAATAAACCGTATTTGTTTGATTTGTTAGTTCCAAGGTTGGCTAATCTTTTGGCAAAATAGAAACTAAAATTTGTTATTAGTTTACTATGTAGAAACCACTATATGTTAAGAGAAGTTTATTTGATTTAAACTCTCAGAGTTGCTATTTTTTCAAGGGTAATTGACACATAAGATGTCACAGCACACTTTGAGAGGATCAATAAGG